CGTCCGTAAACGCAAATTATACCACAGTTTTAAAGTAAAATGAACATTGGTTCATTTTCTGGGTTTAAACACACAAAAACTGTCACTCATTGAAGAATAATAAAGTCCAACCTCAATTTAAATGTTCTGGGCAGACTTCCTCACATTAAGGCTAGGTATCAACTAGGACATGATTCAATACGATTTTTGATAGAAATGCAGCTCGATTCAATTTCGACATCAATATTACTTTATACTTATTGCTCAATGCCGCTGACTCAACAAAACCAGCAAAAATATTTAAGTATATATTTATAATTATAAAAACCAAATTGTGTCTGCTTTTAAGAACAAATAGAGAATACTGCTGGCCATTTTTTACTTGCTCAACAGTCTCACTTGCAGCTTGCAGTTCCTGCTCTGAACAGGAATCATGCATTGTTATACTGCCCCCTAAGGGTTTGGAAGATGTATCAATATTAAAAGAAAGAAAAGCAATATCATTTAAAAATATATTTATATATATCAATATATTGATTTTTATGCACAGTCCTACCTCACATGATGTTTTGGGAAAATGGGCCTTACAGATGCTAAAACACACAAAACATTCTTGAGTTTGTGTGCTGGACTGGTCCTGAATATGTATTTTGAATGCAATTGTATTAAAATATAAGTTGATTCAACACAATCTGCTGTCATCTTAGACTGATAGCTTTTACTAATTGGCTTTTATAATGTATGTGACTGTTTTTGTACAGATGTAGATGATGTTTGTTGTGACTTGATTCTATATAAATAAGCTGAATTGAATTGTACTTTAGTACACACTTGGAGGGACTTGGGAATTGAACCCTCAGTCCTTTTAGAAGGCAATCTCCCCTCTGGTCTGCTCAACCTAAATAGACAGAAAAAGAAAAAGACAAATATATACCTTTAATTAATTAAATTAAGACCAGACTACTCTGGATATTTAAAAAAAAAAACTTATAAACCCATCCAGACTTAGAGGTTTAGATGAAAAAAAAAAAACAGTTAGGATGAAAAGGGTTTTCCTCAGTGGAGATTTTTCTAAATTGTGTTTCTGGTGCTTTCATGTAAATAGGAGTTACACATAATTTCAGAAACAATGACATAGAAGTTTTTTTTCTCTCATGCACACTATCACATTGTGCCCTAGAAATACAAACAAAAAATGAGCTTTTTTTATCAATTTATTCTGAGGGTCTCGCTTTATCTTTATGCTGTCACCATCAAACTTAGATCAGGTGCTGAGATGGTTAGAAACTGAGAGGAAAATGAATTTTGATCCAAATTAAGTGCCTTTTTTTCACCTTTTTAATCTGTTATTAATGTGGAGTTTTTTGCCACCTTGTGGTGCACCATGGGACTTACATTATTTTGTTTAGTTCTACATATTTTTAAGAATCTGTGGGCATGGTTTTCTTTTAAAAATATCAGGAGTAGTGTAGATCGGGCCCTAATAGTTTGCAGCTGTCATGAGATCACTCATTGGTTTTAAAACTGCAGCTAGAAATATTCAAGTTTGACTCTGGAAGCTGATTTTTATTATTTAGTTTTACTGGGGATAGATGCAAGAATCACCTCAAACTGGATAAAATGTGTTTCTTTAGAACTAATATCTTTACATTATTTTCTAAATGACCACTACCACACTATCAAAAGGAGTGAATTAGACCATAATAACGTCAACAATAAGAATTTCTAGAGTGCTCGTACTCCAAAAAGAGTGAGAAAGACACCAGACTGATTAGACTTCTCAGGGTTTCACATTGTTAAATGCCCATAATGAACACTGTAGGAGTAAAAGTGTAGCAGAACAAAGATTCATCCAGTTAATTAATATTGAATTAGGCAGACAATTCTCCTCACACACACACAATCTGACACACCTTTACGCCCGGGGTTTTTCGCACAACTATCACAGGTTGATGGGAGAGTGTGAGGGGATTTAATTTCTCCTTTCCCCCCCTTCTCTTCTGTGCTTTGCTTCATTCAGTCTTGGTGCTGGATCAGACTGTGTGGAGATAACAGAAGCCCAAGGTCAGGGAGGAAGAGACGGAGGGAGACCTACAGCCAATTTACATGAGAGATGAATGGGAAGAGGGGCAGGAAGGGTGGAGGTCGGGGGGCTCGGGACGGGGACTCTGATCTCCTTAGGGTGCACATGTGTGTGTTAATATGTGTGTGTGTGTGTGCGCGCGGTTGCAAGAGGTCTGTGATCTCCTGGCCTTTGTGATGGAGATGGACCCGGCAGGCCTGGCCCGATAATGACGCGACGCTCTAATAGCATTCATCCCTTCTACCGCAAAACTACTCAAGCGGAAAAGAGAGGGAGAGAGGGAGTGAGGTGGGGGGGAAAAAGGATGAAGGAGGCAATAGGAAAAAATCAGTGCGGGCGGGGGGCTGCAGCAGGAGGCTCATTCATCCATTCTAAGCCTAGAAATATTAACTTTGCGCAGGAGTTTATTAACATAATTACTGTAAACAGAGGAACTTAAATGTTTGGTAGAACATAGATCTTTGTTTATTTCATAG